TTCCCGCATCAGGTCACTTGCAAGGATGCTGAGGGCCAGCCACAGCCTTATAAGAGCAAAGATTGTCTATCGTCAGTCACTGCGACCGTATTTGTTGATTTTCGATCACATTCAACTGATAAGCTCCTTTTGTCAACATCTCGTAGGGCGGCCAAGAAAATGTCGGCCTACCATCTCACTGAAGTGACCTGTAGCACCTGTAAAGTGAGTCCGAAAAAAAAGCAGAAATTTGTTTTGATCATTAATTTTATTGATAATCATATGTTTGAACCTGGAAACATTGTCAGTTGTCCATTGTAAGTAGCAATGGATAATTGCTCAAGTCCGCGGTGTAAGTTCGGCCGCTCAAGTTTCCCTGATCATTATCATTCCTCAGGCCATTTGGTATCTGAGCAAAGCTGTTCTTTCTGGTCTGCTTATATATACCAGTCCTGCGGACCGCCTCCGGCACATGACGGTCGAGATTTTGAAAGCTTGCGCATCAAACAAGTCCATCAACGTCAGTCCAGTTTGAAAATGACTCGAATACCTTTCTCTCAAGCTTTGATGATCGAAAACTCGAAGCTGATCAACCAACACAATGATTTCTTTTGTCTCTTGATCGATTCTTGGGGATCCACATCTTAGGCGACGTACTCTGCAGAAGAGTCTCGCGGCAACAAGGGGGTTCAAATTGTATTCACACTGCTTCGTCGACAAGGTACATGTACCTCGTCAACTGGAAGGGTTTCCTTCCAGTCGACGAGGTACACGTACCTCGCCAGCTGGAAGGTTTCCCTTCCAGTCGGCAAGGTACATGCCTCGCCGGCTGGAAGGCAACCCTTCCAGTCGACAAGGTACATGCCTCGCCGACTGGAAGGACCTTTCCGGCTGGAAGGAAACCCTTCCAGCCGGCCATTGGTCTTGGGTATCCCAGGGGATACCCGGATATCCGCCAGGTTTTGGGTGGGGGGGGGGGGAAAGGACATCCGCATCCCCTGGCGGATATCTGCAACGGATTATCCCCGCCCATCTCTACCAGCAAGCAAAGAAGAAGCAACGGGTTCTGCCTCCTGAGGATAATCAAGAAGATTCATCCATGGGGGGATCACATCATGAAGAATTGTACTCTGATGGAGACAATTCTTCAAACAGCATTCAATTACCAGACTTATGAGACAAATATATAGTTTTTCTGCTTGATTTTTGTTATCATTGTTGCTTTTTTTATATTACTTTTTTCTGTTCTCATGTCTTCCTTTGTTCTTATATCTTTGGATATTGCTCAGATGTTTTTATTCTTCTTCTATTTTTTGATTTCTAAGTAAATTTCAATTTTACCTATCATGAAATATGCATATGAGTTCGAGCAACGCTGGGCCGCTACACTAACCGTAGCGGTTAGTGTAGCGTAACGCAGCGGAATTCCCGTTAGCGTTAAGCGTAGCGTAGTGGAATTCCGCCACGACACCGCTAACGCTACGCGTGTGGGCCACAAAAAAGGGCCCACTACGCTGCGCTACAGCCGTTTTTAGCGGTTTTTGGCTGCTTTTTCCGCTAAAAGCGCTGTAGCGCAGCGTAGCGTAGCGAAAATGCGCTACAAAAGCGCTAACACTACCAAAATTTGGCGCAAAAAAAGCGCCGCTACGCTATGCTTTTTGGGCCAAAAGCGTAGCGTAGCGTAGCGGCCCACCGCTGGTTTGAGTGAAAAAAAAAAAAAAACTCAAAGCAAAAAAAGAACATCAAATTCAAGCTACAAAAAATGATATCTTGTGTTTCAAATGGATGAGGAGTGAACCAGTGTGGAGGAGTATGAGGAGTCAAGTTGTGCTGAGCAGGGGGAACTCAGGTCTTTGGGCTCCTGGGTAATGTGATAAAGATATCAAGGTCACGTCGGCGCTGCTTGGGTGATCGGAGGGGTTGATCCGACTGGACCCCATCTTTTCACTGTTGCCCCACATGGTTCAACAGACAAGCTGCCATACGTGACCATGGGATCAGGTTCGCTTGCGGCAATGGCGGTGTTTGAAACAAAATGGAAGCCAAAAATGGCTTGTCAAGAGGCTATTGATCTTATTGTTCAAGCCATCTATGCTTGAATTTTCATTGATCTTGGTTCAGGAAGTAATTGTGACAGCTGCGTCATTGAGGCCAGCAGTACTGAAATGCTGAGAAACTATGGCATGCCAAACGAGAGAGTCGCGAAGGAACTCAACTACACTATGCGTCAAGGTACCACCGCCTGGATTGTAAGCCATCCAACTGTTGGATTATGAATATGCTTATTCATTATACAGTATGCTTCAACAAGGACTCAAACAATCATGTATATAATCTATACCTGATAGTTATCGTAGTTTTTCCTTTAGTGAATCAAAACATATTTTTCTCACTCAACAAAGTGTCACTGGCCTGTCAGCCGTGAAATTTGGTTTTCACCTTGAGTCACACTCAACAGGTTATGAGGCCCATTTGCTCACCCTGCTCAAGACAAACTTTTCTCGATTACGCTCGCGGACTATCACCAAACTATCACCGAACACTCGACCTAATTCTGTTTGTCTCCTTCATAAACGATGCCGGCCCGCACAACTCAAAATCCGTCGGCACTTATCGGAAACATCCCGATCTTGGACGGTAATTCGGTTGGCTTCCCCGCTTGGCGAACAAGACTCAAAGAGCTCTTCGCTATTCAGGGGGTGCACAACATTGTGACCGGCAAACTTGTTCGTCCGGCACCTGACTCCAAAGAAAAGGAACCCAAACCAGTAACCCAGGGCTCTCACCGACTATACTATGCAGAAGAATTGGGCTCCGACTGGGACGCTTTGTCGGATATAGCCAGGGCAACTCTGAAAATGACACTGTCAGTCAATCTAGCGATTCGTTACAAGGACACGAAGCCCGTCAACGTCCTATTTAAAACGATCTGCGACGCCTACGAGAAGAATACTCGGGCACGTCGCATGATGCTTCAGGACGCTTTCTGGACGGCTCGTCACGATCCCAGCAAACCGATCGCCACATGGATTGCTCGAATCCAAAACGCGGCGTCCGATCTCAAGTCAGTCAAGCTTTCCCCTGCAGACCAGCAAATATGTGATCGTCTGCTTCGAGGTCTAGACAAAACCTGGAAGCCTATTCGCGATCATCTCGTGTACTCCCCGAACGAGATATCCCTTGACGATGCGATTGGGGTGCTAGAATCACATGAAGTATCGATGCAGGCCCCGTTTGATCAAGTTCAAGAGTCGTATGCAGCACCCGCAGTAGTGAAGAAGAAGAAAGCGGGATGCTGGAACTGTGGTGAAGTCGGCCACCACTCCTCAGCCTGCTCTAATCCCTCCGCCAAGAACAAACATAAAGCCAGGTTTGGAACTCGAGCTGGTGCGGCGTCAGCGGTGGCTTTAGGAGGAGGCGGCCCTAGCAATGATGAAGAAGAGGAAGACGATTTCGACCCGGAAATCGACGTTGTCTGGGGATGAACCCCAAAGTAGATAAATTGACGTTTGTAGGATAGGCAACTCCGGCAAATCCTGAAAGCTAATTCCTCCCCGGTAGTGGTTGATATACTTGTTATCATGACATCTCTCTGTCTCCGACCTCTGATGGATCTCTGGCTTGATTAAACATGATTTTTTTTCCCCACTCCACTTTATTCATTTCTGTCCCCACAAATAAACTACCTTCACTTTAGTCCTAAATAAGTTTAGGAGTTTAAATTAGTTTAATGTGTTGTTTCAGCAAGGGGGTGTGTTGGATTATGAATATGCTTATTCATTATACAGTATGCTTCAACAAGGACTCAAACAATCATGTATATAATCTATACCTGATAGTTATCGTAGTTTTTCCTTTAGTGAATCAAAACATATTTTTCTCACTCAACAAAGTGTCACTGGCCTGTCAGCCGTGAACTTTGGTTTTCACCTTGAGTCACACTCAACACCAACGGTTCTCATCAACTCTTACATCCGTGTTTACTGAAGCGCGCGCAATATTTTCCTCCTGTATTTCATAGAAACAAGACGTCAAAAAGTTAATTGTTTCCAAATTGGTTACTCGTATCGGTGGCGGGGTGGTTGAAGGCGGACCAGGCACGGGTGTTTGGGGCTTTTTTTCCATGAGGTAAGACTGTCCGTGATTGTGAATTCAACCTAGAGAATCTGTGCGACAAAGTATGCCTTAGCCTTCAAAGTCTTGAAAGACATGCCAGACTTCTCATCAACAGAGAATGGTTGTCAGGGTGGATTGATTGTAAGATAATGTAGTATGATCTGTCGTTTAATGGTTTGAGTTGTTGCCGCTGCTGACGTAGCATGCGGATTCAGTTTGAATTGAAACGTCTGGGTGACGCTGCGGCCCGCAGCAACAGCTAATTGTCCGTAGTGTCACATGCACATTGAATATGTGGAGGTTGTGGGTTCAATTCTCACACCAGACATCTTTTGACCTGGCTTGCTGGTCAAATGATAATCACTGATTGGTTTATGATCATATTGTACAAATTACCTTGCTCCTAATGAACAAAACCATCAAGAATCAGTGTATCTCCAGCAAAGTTACCCTTAAGTTATCCAAATATTGGAAATTCTGTAACGTAACCCTGTTTTGTTCAGAATTTCTGGGAACGTAACTAGAAAAAAAAGGGGCCTTTTGCTCCAGTAGATACCGTAACTGAAATGAAGATATCTGTAACTTGTGGTTAACGTAACTGCAAAGGTTACGTTACAGTCAATGTTATCCATTTGGGTAACGTATCTGCCCATCGCTGTCTGTGGTGTCTTGGTTTTCACTGAGTTCAACCTGTCAAATGATCATGAACAAAATAAATCAGAAACCTTGGGCAAATTTTGTTTGGATCCTCTTGATGATAAAAAAATGAGGTACTTACGTCTAGATCTGTTTTGACGTGCCACTGAGCATGGAAATCATCAGAAGTGAACTTTCTCCCCTCAATTTTGGTGTTGTGGACTTGATGGATGCATTGAATACCCATGTGAGCCGAGTATTTACCAGTGCATGTGGTTTTTGGAGCCTTGGCCATGTGAGACACATGAACAATCTTCAAGGCAAAGTGTGAGATGATTCCGTTAAGATTGGCAATTGAAGGAGGCAGGCCGGTCAGTCTTTTTAATGGTGTTGCACAGATTCAATGTATCTTTCATGGAGCTGGCTTTCAATGGCCTGGTGAATTTGCTTGAAAACTGCCCCAAAGGAGCCTGTTGATGTGTTGAGCAATTTCTTGATGTACGCGTTCAGACTTTCAACTCTGGAGGTGATGTGATTTCCAAAGTGCGGGAGGCAATTGATTAAGTATGCGACAAAGTGCTCCTTCAGTGGAAGGACCACCTTGATCAAGTAGGTGGCCGTGTCTGGAGATCACAATTTGGAGAGCTTGGTGTAATTCTCCTCGTACTCCTTCAAAGTTGGCAACATCCTCAATTGCTTCCATGCTGATTCAAATGTTTCCCATTTCTCTTTCTGTTGAGGTGAACTGGAGCCGACAGGATTGGAAAGGATGAGGATTCAATTCAATCATAGAGAGAAAAAGAGAGAAAGAAAAGAGACTGACCTGGAGCCAACAGGATTGGAAAGGATGAGGAAAAAGCTGAAATGCTTCCGGCAATTTTTTTCAATGTTCTTGAATATGTGCCAAGAGCAGAGGATCCAAGCGGTGTTGGGGTAGACTTTCCTAATCACATTTATGACAGCTTGTTTGTGGTTGGTTACAATGACTGAGGGTGATTGATTGTTCATTGCTAGAAGGAACTGCTCCAGGGCCCACGTATAATTTGGTTCCTTTTCAGCGGAGAGGAAACAGCAAGCCACTGTGAACGACCGATTGCATGAATTCATTCCAACAATATGAAGCAGGGGCATGTGGTAATTGTTAGTTTTGTATGTGCAATCAAGGAGGATGGTTGTTGGAAATCTTTTGACCAATTTGAGCTAACGGGGGTGAGCAAAAAAGAATGAGGTCATGTGACCTTTGTCAGCTTGTCACTGACAACGGTGGGCCGCTACGCTACACTACGCTAAATGGCCATTTAGCGTTAGCGTAGCTGCTGTTGCAGCAAACTTTTTTTGTGTAGTGTTAGTTTGCGCTACAGCCCACTACGCTACGCTAACAACACACCTTTTTTTGGGTAGTGTTAGCGCACCGCTACAGCCACTACGCTGCGTTACGCTACGCTACAGCGCTGTTAGCGGCAAAAAAGGCCAAAAAACCGCTAAAAAGCGCTGTAGCTTGGTGTAGCGGACGCTTTTTTGCGCCTCATGGGCGTAGTGTTAGTGTGGATGAGTGAAATAAAGCTAACACTACGCTAACAGCTAACACCCACTGGCGCCCTGCGTGCGTAGTGTTAGTGCAAATTTTCAGATTTGCGCTAACACTACGCTACATGTTAGCTTATTTTAGCTACACTAACGCTACGGTTAGTGTAGCTGGCCCACTGTTGTCACTGAGAAAGCAGGACAATCTGCCTAAGTTTTTAGAAATTTAGTTTTAACTTTTAAAAATAATTAATTACAT